TAATGAAATGTGTTTATGCGGTTTAAGGTTAAAAAAACACATTATTTTATTAGAACGAGGCGTTTTAGGTAGGTGTGGCTGACTCTTAACTTTTATAAAGAATATCTCTTTGGATTTGAGACTTTAGTCTTTGCAACTTTACAGATCTTCTTTATGCACCAAGAGCTTGTAACACTCCAAAGAGAAAGGAAAAATTGAAATCGCATCATATGACCCCTTTAAGCGCTCAACTGCTGATATGATCCCTTGTTAATATCTGAAAGCACATCTACGTTGCAGAGATAAAGGTGTTAAATTGTGTTAAAAAGTGTGCACTGTCTAGAATCAGACAATGTTCCTTTTTATGTTTTGTATGTTCATTTGATGATGTTCTGTCATCATCAGTCAATTATACTGTTATAAACCTTTTCTAAACCATTTTTATAATCCTTTCAAACTTTCCATTTATCAAAGAAACTTGACAAATGTAAAAATGTATCAGTTTTCACAAAAATATTAAGCAGCACAACAACGGTTTACAATGATATGAAATACTTCTTGAGCAGCAAATCAGCAATGATTTCTGAAGGATCATGCGACACTGAAGACTGGAGTAATGATGCTGAAAATTCAGCTTTGTCATTACAAGAATAACTTACATTTTAATATTGTATTAAAATAGAAAACAGTTATTTTCAATTCTAATAATATTTCACATTATTACTGTTGTACTGTATTTTTGATCAAATAAATGCAGCCATAAAATGGTGACCATAAAAATATAAAAAACCTTACCGACCCAAACTTTTGAACAGTGGTGTACAGTATATATATTATATATTTTAATTCCTATATTATATTAATAAAATGATATCTAATCTAATGTTGTCATAACTGATCGATTTTACATTTTATTGTACTCGCGTGTTTTTTAAACTCGCCAATATTTCTCACGTTTGCATTTTTAAACAAAAATACTAATAATTTATTATCACTATCCATCCAGGTACTAACCTTATCAATAAGCAATTGTGTCCTTGAAAATCTAAAGCTATCGATCCTTCCACAGGGGTTAAAACCAGCAGGAAAAGCACATCTACAGGAAGAATCCATTAACATTCATAACACGGAATAAGGCTAATTCATAATTCATCAGATCTGTGATCTTCTATATAATATGCTGTGACCTGTATGGCTCTGTGCACTGGGACAGGCCATGTCTGGTGAAGGGAATGAGTGCCTCCTGAAATGATTTATCATGTTTGTCCTTTTATCCTTGAGGTGATGTTTCCTCAGCTCTTCACCTCTAATTTTTGGTGACTTTCCTCCATTGCCAGCAGAGGGCATCACAAGTAGATGTTCTACCAGGATCTTTGCTTGCTGATGGAGTTAAGTTTGATTGAACCTGCTGGCAGATGCTGCAGAGATGTCAGAAGACTGCAGTAAAAACAGACTGCTGGTGCAGGACTGAATCCCTAATGCATTGGTTGTATCTACTGCTGCTTTAATGCAACAACATACTGTTTTTTTTTGCACATAAAGATATCTAAAACTGTTGTTTGCATCTAAGTGGCAAGCACAACTTTAATCAGTGAATCATCATTTCAATTACTGTTGTACTGTATTTTTGATCAAATAAATGCAGCCATAAAATGGTGACCATAAAAATATAAAAAACCTTACCGACCCAAACTTTTGAACAGTGGTGTACAGTATATATATTATATATTTTAATTCCTATATTATATTAATAAAATGATATCTAATCTAATGTTGTCATAACTGATCGATTTTACATTTTATTGTACTCGCGTGTTTTTTAAACTCGCCAATATTTCTCACGTTTGCATTTTTAAACAAAAATACTAATAATTTATTATCACTATCCATCCAGGTACTAACCTTATCAATAAGCAATTGTGTCCTTGAAAATCTAAAGCTATCGATCCTTCCACAGGGGTTAAAACCAGCAGGAAAAGCACATCTACAGGAAGAATCCATTAACATTCATAACACGGAATAAGGCTAATTCATAATTCATCAGATCTGTGATCTTCTATATAATATGCTGTGACCTGTATGGCTCTGTGCACTGGGACAGGCCATGTCTGGTGAAGGGAATGAGTGCCTCCTGAAATGATTTATCATGTTTGTCCTTTTATCCTTGAGGTGATGTTTCCTCAGCTCTTCACCTCTAATTTTTGGTGACTTTCCTCCATTGCCAGCAGAGGGCATCACAAGTAGATGTTCTACCAGGATCTTTGCTTGCTGATGGAGTTAAGTTTGATTGAACCTGCTGGCAGATGCTGCAGAGATGTCAGAAGACTGCAGTAAAAACAGACTGCTGGTGCAGGACTGAATCCCTAATGCATTGGTTGTATCTACTGCTGCTTTAATGCAACAACATACTGTTTTTTTTTGCACATAAAGATATCTAAAACTGTTGTTTGCATCTAAGTGGCAAGCACAACTTTAATCAGTGAATCATCATTTCAGGTTTAGTCACAACCTCTCCTGAAATGAAGTGTCCTGTTCTCTGATCCGACAGCATATTTAATGAATATAAAATCAGAGAGGTTCCTCTTTGTGATGAGCACAGCAAAAAGGGCCTCATGACCCTTTCAATAATAATTAGACTGTAAGTGTCGTCAGACATCTTTTTACTCCTTTTTCAAAGGCAGTCATACACACATGACGCAGAAAAGATCTAGACGTTTACATTAGGGTTTGTTGTTAAGGTTAGTGCATAGTTGCTAGGTAGATGGTTGCCAAAAGTAACAATTTTTATATTATATTATATTATATTTTATTTTTATATTAATTTAAACAGTTATTATCAAACAATTATATTCATTTAGTAACATAAATGTATCTTAGTGTAGGCTATATCTTTAAAGTTTTATAATTCATTATCTTCTTGTCGATCCACCAGTTCACATTTACAACTGCGTGTTTTCTGCGTAAAAATAGTTTCAGTTCAAGCGGCATGTGAACCAATCATCTCTTCCTCTTTACTAGTTATAGCAAAAAATAAACATGAATGAACATCAGAAGGTATCTTGTTTCAACCACGGAAAGACATCAATACACACCATTTTTCCACCAAAAATGATCCACCAAAGTCCACAGACGTTAATTTAATCTACTGTCTGGTTAGTCTGTCAGACAAAATTGGCAGATTCGCTGTTATGATTGGTTGGATCGCCTGTCAATCAAACTCCCGGTGACGGGTGAATACCGGTATAGCGATTGACCGGTTGCCAATATTGTGATAGTTTTATCTCTATACCGGAATTGCACACAAACTGCATTGCAATCATTTTCCAAATTATCATTTGTGTAGAAAAATTACGAAGTCTGTAAACGGCTGCTAACAGAGGCCAGAGAAGCTGAAGATGGACCCAAAGAGGAGAGAATACTTAGAACATACTTAGAACAGCAGCTACGCTAATTATGTCTATATTTGTTTCTCTGTTTTTGCCACAGGATTGACATCCCGTGGTAACTAGGATTTACACAAGATTCAGTCTGGATCCAGAACACCTGAGAAGAGATGATGCCAACCCCTCAGAGGACCATACATGACCATACAGGACCATACATTCATACAACATACAGAACTACCACATTTTGCTATAAGTTTGATTGCATCATATAATAATTGCTGTTAATAGTGTTCATCGTGTTTGATTACGTATTTAATTGATTTTTCCGTACATTTCTGCCATATGTACATTAACTGACAGTCACCACTGATAAGCTACCACTAAATATTGTAGAAACTTAATTTGCTGTAAAGTTGCTTTGCAATGATTTGTATCGTGAAAAGCGCTGTACAAATAAACTTGAATTGAATTGAATTGAATACTGTAGCAGGCAGCGCAGCTCACTGTTCACTATGAGCAAAATATTGGAAGAAAATCCTAAATATTGAATTGGGGGGTGGTTTCAATTGAATTTTCTTTTCCTCTTACCTCTGTCTAAGAGTAATGTTTTGAAGCACAGCGGTATCAGAATCGGCCAATTTGCTCGTAAAAAAAACTGAAATAGGAATCGGCCATGAAAAATCGTTCTTAGTCCATTGCTATGTAGTAGCTTGGTTGTTAGTATGTAGTATTTAGTATGCTAGGGTGTTCTAAGCTGGTGCATACTGGCCCGAGTCAGAGCCCTTTTTTATTATTCATCAAGTTAAAATCCTCTTAATTACAAAATTGTAGCACACCAACAACAAACTTTTAATTCTTGTACTCTTTGTGCTGTGGACAGGATGGGAAAACCACCTGCATAACTCAGCGTTACTCAGGGTTAAAGGTTCATTCAAATTCCTAAACCTAAGTATGAGCAAAAATAATAGTGATAAGTCTTAGCAAGCGCCACTAATGAGCGCTAATGATCTGTAGAAAGATCATCCACAGGGGCAGCATATACAGTAATGCAGCGAGAACCTGAGATTTGATCTGCTTAATCGGCAAATTAGACCCACGATGTTATACATTTGAGAGAGAACAAGTTCAATCAAACTAAGGAGAATAAAAGAGATCATAGGAACAGAGTGATTTAGATAGCGGTCAACCAAAGGAAGCAGACGGATAGGTTGGGGGAGTGACAAAAAGGAGCGACAGAGGTGCAGGAGGGGGTGAAGAGCGAAAGGGAAAGTGGAGCGCTGGGAAAATTCATGCTGTGTTAGCATCCCTGAGCAACTCCATCAATACTGCATACAGCTGAGTTACTGGCAAGAGTCCTGCTGCTGCAATCCCAACCTCCGCCAGAGAGAGAGAGAGAGAGTGAGCAGGAGTGAGTAAAAAAGAAAGAAGGGGGTAAAAAGAGAGGGTGTTTATGAAAGACAAGCACAAAAGCAGAGAGAGAGAGTAAGAGAGAGCAGTTCTTACAAGCGCCTCTGCTTTCTGGTGTGTGTGTGTGTCAGAGATTTGTGGTGGGACTGTGCCTTGATCTTGGGCTACTGCAGTAAAAGAGTGAGGAGGAGGCAGGAGAAAGTGCTGCGCATTGGAATGCACCATAGGAAAGAGGAATAACACCAATCCAGCTCCACAGATAACATTGGACTGGATACCCAGTGACATCTCAGCGGCTTCCACACCTCTGGCCTTATGCAGAAAATTCTGAGCACACCTGATTTAGACCGGACCAGGTGAGTAGAGATCATTAACTCTCAGTTTGGCAATGTTATGCAATTCAGATTGTAATCTGCTAGAGCACGGAACAGTGTTTTATCAGATTTAATGAACTTCTGCTAGCAGATAAGATAAAAGAAAGCTCCATACGTGTGACATCTGAGGCTGAATTTTGCACAACGAAGCTGTTTGGTCAGGTACAGTAGATCGGTGCAGATTTGAGGTCCACAACGTTGGAGTATTATAGTAGTGCATTGAGATCTCAAATGATGGATGAACTTAAGTAAACTTTAGTTCTCTCCATCTATCTCAGCTTCAGTTTTTCTTTCTACACTGAAAAAAAGTTTAGAAGCAGTTTTTACTCTGAAATTGCTAATAAATTTCACAAACAAATGGCATGTAACATTCAATTAAATGTCATATTTTGAAGTAGACAAAAAAAAGGAAAAATTATTATTTTTTTCAGTGAGGAATTTAAGGAATTTTAAAACTATGATTTCCAGGCATGGAAAAGGCATACCTTTTCTTGAAAGTTGTGGAAATTTCTATAGTCAGTTTTACTTTTATTTTACATTTACATTTAGGCTATTACATTTAGATTTAATCTAGAGAAATTGCTCTTTGTGAGTGCAATCTTAATATACAGTGCCTTTTTTTCGCGTTATGCTGCAGCCTTATGTTAAGCTTTAAATTACTTTTTATTTCACATCAATCTACACTTCATACACCATAATGGCAAAGCAAAAACAGAACTGTAACAACTTTGTACATTTATAAAAAATAAAAAACTTAAATAAGTACATTGCATAAGTATTCAAACCCTTAACTCTGTACTTAGCTAAAGCATCTTTACAGCCTCAAGTATTTTTGGGTATGATGCAACAAGCTTTGCACATCAGCATTTGGCAATTATCTGCCATTCTTCACCTCACCTCTTCACCTCCCAAGCTCTGTCAGGTTGGATGGGGGCAAACACACATTTTCAGGTTTCTCCAGAAATATTTGATTGGGT